AAGTTATTTATTTTTGGCAAGAACACTACAGAAGTAGAATTGTATTCTTTTCATCATATGATATCAGAATTATTGATATATTTTCTTACTAATGTTAACCATGGATCATCTATTATTGTAGATATTATTTTTGAAGCATTAGATCATTTAGAAGAGTAAGGAGTAACTATTTTGATGCCATCAAAGTATGTTTTTTCCTTATCTTAAAAGCTATTTTTCTTACAATAAAGATATTTGTGGTACCTCTCATCCATAGCTCTTTGTGTAACTGGGTGACTCTACATCTAACAGAGGAACTTAGTCCCTGGGCCTGGCCTGAGTGAACTCTTGCCCTGGGGGCAGCCAGCATATTGACTGATCAGATTAAATAATTTGGATCTATTTTGAAGAAAATAACTAGATCAATAAATTCTGTGAGAAGATGGGATATAGAATTGGAAAACAGAGACCAAAGTAATGATAGTAGTGATTAAGACAGAAAGTAACAGAGCAAGGTAGGTAGTAGCCATTTGAAGACATGCAAGATAAACAAGCAGAGATAGCCAATCAGTAGATGCAAAGGCATAAGATTCACAGTAGGTAGGAATTTAGTGAGAAAGTCAAAGATATACAGAGAACATAGTGAAAAAGACAGACAAAAGAATCTTTCCCAGCTACCTTGCGATATCAAGTTCTAGGCTTCCTATACTGTCCAGTATTTAAGTGTCATTTTCATAAGGAATACTATTTGTATTTCTAAAAATTTCCCATTTATGCCTGAAAACTGCTTTTCTGTAATGAAAATGAACCCAACTAAAAATGAAATAGAAGTAAAATTTAGTTAATAAAAAATAGAGCATGGTAGCTGTGGCCAAATCCTTGCAGAACTGAATGCCCATTTAATCTTTTGATTCTATTCCCATTTTACAAAGCTGATATGACTGACTACAGATTAATCTAGACATTTACACAGACTTCTGCAGGGTAGATAAATCTAATCACTGAGTTTGCTACATGGTTCCATGGCCTGAAGAAAATCCCAATTAAAACAGTCCTTAATGCAGCATTAACCTTGCTGATCTCAAGTGTTTATTTTTCCCTGTTGTGCAGTGTATGTTATTCTTTTATCAGTGTGACCTTAATCATCTGCAGATTTGTGAGGTATTGTCGAATACAGTATTCTAAATAACCCAGGACCCAAGAGCTCCAAGCTACATGCTCCCCTGATTGGGTAAATAGTACAATAATGGAAGTTCATTGTCTCATTTGTTAGCTTAATTTAAAGATGCAGTAGTGGGTTTTTGAAGCTAGTTCAATTTTTTAAAAAACATATTTTTCACAGTGATAGCTAATTCTTAACTTTTCATCATGTTGAAGATGATGAATTCTTAACATTTCTTTTTGTTAAGTTTATAATCTTAAAAAGTTTATCATATTACATTTTTATGAGCAAAGAAAGACATGCCAATGTTGTAAGTTTTTATTAGCATTCTAGATATTTCTTTAAAATTAATGAAAAAAAATCTCAATCAATGGGTATCAAGTCACCCTTACATAGGAGTGAAAAGTTCTAATGTGCTATTGTATAGTAGGGGGACTATGTGACATTTATGTACTGTACATTTTTTAAAATTAGAAGAATTTTGAAAGGTTTTATTATAAGAAATATTTGTGGAGATGTGGCACATAGTATGCATGTACTGAAACATCACATAGTAATCCATTAATATGTATAGTTTTATGATCAGTTAAATGAATTTTAAGTTTCTTCCTTGCTTATTACAGATAAAAGGAAAATATATTAAGGGAACACACACAAACACATATATGCACATACACCAACACATATACATACACATTCATATGTACGTGCACACAGCTTTTTGAACATGAGTTGTCAAAATATTTGTCTGTTATAAATATTTTGATACTTCCTCCTATCAATCCTTGAAAATATTTAAATTGAAACAAACAACAGCTGTTTATAATATAAAATTAGAGATATAGTGTATCATTGTGTCTTAGAGTGTGAATCAAAAACCACTAAAAGCAGACACAGTGGCACACATGTATAGTCCCAGTGGCTTGAGAAACTAAGACAGGAGAATCTCAGGTTCAAAGTCAGCCTCAGCAAAAGCAAGGCACTAAGCAAGTCAATGAGTCCCTGTCTCTAAATAAAATACAAAATAGTGCTGGAGATGTGGCTCAGCAATTAAGTACTCCTGAGTTCAATCCCCAGTACCAATTAAACAAAAAGTTGGTCTTAAAGTACAAGTGTTT